TCATCAGTCATTCCTTGGAAACCCTATAGAGGCAAGTTTTTAGTAAAATTTATGTAATAGTCTATTCCATATCTAAAGAAGATAATATTAAAAGTTTTCTCTAGAGAAGCTATGAAGCTCACACTGGTATAACTTCATAGAGTTGTTAGTAGTTTGTGTCTACTTTTAGAATTTTTCTGTTTTAAATAGGATTTTTAAAATACAGGATGCATTATTCAATATTTAGAATCCTACCTGCTGTCCTGCTGCAAGCAACAACTTGAAAAAATTACTTGCAGGAATTCAGGAATAATTCACCTTTATGGCTAGAATATCTCAATTTCTTTTAAAGTGATAGAAGTATCATATGAACCAAGGATCAATTGTTCAGGATGTCATTTTTCCTAAAAACAGTCCTATGAGTTGGAACACATTCATCAGCATTTAACAACAACAACATATTTGAATAAATTTAGTCAAAATTTTACTTATTTGTGAATAGAGCCACTTACTCTTATTATCAGAAACACATTAAGACCCTTGTGGATATTTCAAACAGCAAGTTTCCAAGCTTTCTTGTCTAAAACACTTATTCCCCTTTTACAATCCAGTACAGTTGAAAGTAAATATGTTATTGCATACTCACAAATCTGGCCCTTGCCCGATCTCAATCTCTTCTAAAGGTATTGAATAAAGGGCTTCATAAATTCTTTCAGTCCCAGATCCATGAATTGCATATGAATTCATCTTGTCAACACCAGGTGGAAAATATTCCCAAGGAATAAGTGCAGTCCCAATCCACTGGTCCCCATTTATGTTGGCTTCAAACTGTAAATCCAGTTCTTTCTTTTAGATCAGAAAAAATAATCAAAAAAGTATAATTTCAAACTGACATATTCAATACATTCAACAAATAGAATCAAGGTTGAAATTAATCAACGATTATAACATTGCTTTGCAAGGCAAACTAGGCAGTCATAGTCCCTAAATTAAAGATCATAGTACCCAAATTAAAGATCAATTAGCAATGCTACTGAGACATCATCAAATTAAAGATCAATTAGCAATGCTACTGAGACATCATCCCAATCATGGTTTTATTATTTATAAAATGTAAAAATTCCATGCTCCAGTATAAAATGTATGAAGTGCCAGATTCTATCTGTATAAATGGTTAAGTTTTAAAGGTGTCATAAAGCCATTCTTGACATGAGCATTGGTTCTTCATATTTGGAGCTCTAAGGAAAATACATTGGATTGCTCTGTTTGCTCATCAGTCCTAACATTCTTATAGTTGTTGAAAATCCATGCTGATCTATAGCAGGCAAATCCAAATTCTGGAGACCTGGGAAGTTAAGGTATCTAACCTCTCATGGAGACAGTTCTATAGGACCTTTTATAAATGCTCATAGGTATTTGAGTGAATCATTCTAGTCTTTTTTATGCTTTCAGACACTGAAAATATTTATTGTATTGGTCTTATTCACTCACTCACAAAAATTATTTTACTATTTAATCAATTTTGTGCATTTTTAGTAAATATTTTTTGCTGACAATAATTTTTAATTTTTTTAAAGTGCTCATATCTTTCTGTATATCTACTAATATAATCTGTACCAGAAATAAAGGATAAGAAGAGTAAAATTTGGAAACCAACTCTGTCCCAAACAGAGAATATTGGGTTCCTTCTTTATTCAGATTATCTTCCCTTAGGCTTTCCTCCTTGGTTCCCATAGCAGACCCAGTCAAGCCTAATCAAGAATTTAATCTTATCAGAAGTCAGCCAGAATCATTGACAACCACATTCTAAAAATTAGCCATTTGGAAAACTGTGAGCGAAAGACAAATTACCTTATCTGCTCATCCAACTCCTTCCCTCAGAGATCAAGACAACTTAATTAAGAAATTATCTGGGGGACTGCTGCAACAATGCTGCCTATAGGACAAACTACAACTTCTGTGAATACACTTATAAACTAAAATCTATGGTCTTTGATAAACACAATCTGCTGATTATACTCATTTCTCTGTAATAGTCTATTCCATATTTAAAGATGAAATATTAAGATTTTTCTTCAAAGGAGCTATGAAGCTCACACTGGTATAACTTCATAGACTTGTCGGTAGTTTGTGTCTCCTTTTAGTATATTTCTGTCTTAAACATTGGATTTTTTAAATACAGGATCCTTCATTCAATAATCAGAATCCTACCTGTTGTTCTGCTGCAAGTAAAAACTTGAGTAATCTACTTGTAAGAATTCAGAAAGGAATTCTAACCTTTATGGCTAGAACTTCCCAAATAATTTTAAAGTGAAACAAGTACCATGTGAACCAAGGATCAATTGTTTAGGATGTCATTTTCTCCAATGTTCAATGTTGATTATGCTAGATAATACAGTACCATGATGTCAAACCATTCTAAGACTTCAGGAAAACACTTTAACTCTTTTTGACACTTAAGTAGACAACAACATTTAATCTGTCAGTTTGTGTCTGTTACCTCCACTGCTGTTCATGAGATACTAATGCAGTAGGGATTCATTTGTCTTTATTTTTCCCATCTGTCAAAGAAGAAAGTCAAATGGTAAAGTTTATAGAGCTATAGAGAATAATGCACCAAATTTATTTTAATGACAGCGTGGGTTTCATTGATTTAGAGCAGCTGTTTTCTGAATAAATAGATACAAGGCCTAATAATTGTACAGAAAAAGTTCAATGTTTTTTGCTGGAGTCTGAAGATCTGTTGGCAGACCAACACTCAGTTAGGATTACTGGTCTCAGCAGCACTTTTTCTATAACTCAAAAAATAGCCAGCTGCTTTGGTATGCAGAGGTTCCTAGATCGATTTCTTACTGGAATGGATTCCTCACAAACAAAGATAATCCTTTATTTGAGGTTTAGTCACTTGAATTCCTCTCTGTATTCTTCACTGTCAGGCTTTGAAATTTTTATTTATTCTTGGTAGAATGCACTTACTATTGTAGTTTTGGCACTTCTCATTCTAAGCCTCTCTTTTCAGGGCCTTAGAGGAAAAAAAAGTCTTTAGCTAAAAATTTCTCATGCTTGTTGACAGTCTGGAAATGATTTCTTTTAGAAAAGAGAATAAGTGAAAAAGTAGAAGGAAAGGCCATTTATTCTACTATCATTGAGAACTTGATTATCAGTTAATTACAGGTTGATTATTAAATGTAATGTGATAGCTTACAACATTTAATTTTATTGCTTTCATCTCTGTTCAAGAAGTAACACCAAGATATTTTAAAATCTCATGAATAGATTAAACCCAGTAAGCTAAAAATCCCTGTGGCTACAGTAATAATCATTTATACTCTCCCATATTAATATGGTTAAATGGATTACTATAACAGGTAATAGAAACAAGCTTTAACCCATTATATATTAACAAATACTTATTAATAAGTGAATCTATATATAAACCGAATCTATTTATTCTGTGGGTTCTTTTCTGATGTTTTCAACAAATAGCTTCTTCCATACATGGATGAATCTATAATAATCAGAATTCTTACTTTCAGAACTCTCAACTTAATATCCTGACAGTTTAATCCATTGCCTTCCAAAGCTCTCTTTCCATAAGACTTATTGTCAGTATACTTACGACTAAATTATATAAAAGTTACGGAAATGGTTATTCAACAGTGTTTCAAAATGCATCAAACTCATTCTGGGGATCTCTGATTTTTGCTATGTAGAAAAAAAAGCATTTAGACTAATTTCTTTAGAGAATAGCAAGATTCAAAGCAATCTGTTGCTTTCCTTATTCTAATTAAGGAAATTCTTCAATGTAACTTATTGCCACTTACTTACATGCTAGCCATGGAGGGAAAGAGAAATAACACTGGATGAACTTAAAAGACTATCCTAACTTTTTCAGTCTAATGTATTTCATATAGACTATTAAATAGTAGACATGTATACAGAGACTGAAAACAGATATAGCTATTAAGAATTTATAGCAAACTTGTCATTATTTTCTTAGTTATATGCAAAAGCATACTTTTTTATGCAAGTTAAGCCATCTATACTCATTTCTAACTTTTTATACTAACCTTGAAGACTCTATGATTTAAAGGAAAAAAACTGAAATATTGAATATACATATAGAGAATGATTTCTATAAAGCAAGTTTATTTATCAAAGCAATACAGAGGGGAAAGTCTAAATATTAAGTAATATTAAATATTATTAAATATTAAGTAATAAATAGATTTTATTATTTTATTCTCACTATCTGAGTCCCAAAACTTGCTTTTAGCTCACATGTAGAATTAAAGTACATAAGCTACTAAGATGTACATACTTCTATTTTGTCTTATATTTACCATATCTGATTTTTTTTCTTATATTAAAATGAGAAATATATACCAAATGATTTAGTCAATATGTGTGTATTTTTAATATTTAAATAAAATATTTGGAGAGCAAAAAATATATAAATTACCTATGGTTTTTTTTTTTTCCTTTTTCATGATAAAATGTTTGAGATTGTTAGGTGCCATCAGGTTATTACCAACTCATATCAATCTGATGCACAACAAAAAGAAACAATGCCCAGTCCTGCATCAACCTCACAATCATTGCTACCTTTGAGCTGATGCTACTGTGCCAATCTGTCTACTTGGGGGTCTTCCAGTTTTTCTCCGACCCTCCACTTTACCAAATATGATATGTTTCTCCAGGGACTGGTCCCTCCTAATAATATGTCCAAAGTATGAGAGACAAAGTCTGGTCATCCTGGATTCCAAGGTGCATTCTGACTGTACTTCTTCCAACACAGATTGGTTTGTTCTTTTGTCAGTCCATGGTACTTCTAATACACTCCTCCAACACCATAACTCAAATGCATCAATTCTTCTACGGTCTTCCTTAGTCACTGCCCAGCTTTCACATGCATATAAGATTTTTGAAAATACCATGGATTGGGTTAGGCACAACTTAACCTGCAAACAGATATGTTTGCTCTTAAACATTTTAAGGAGATCTTGTGCAATTGATTTATCTAAAGCAATACATCATTTGATTTCTTGACTGTTAATGAGTCTCTGAAAACATCAATCATTTTTCCATTTATTCGGATGTTGTTTATTGATACCATGGTGAAGACTTTTGTTTTCTTTATAATGAGGTGCAACCCATACAGATGGCTATGGTCTTTGATCTTCATCAGTAGTTTATGTTCTTTTTGGTTTCAGCAAACAAGATTGTATCATCAGCATATCTAAGATTGTTAATGAGTCTTCCTTCCATCCTGATGCCACGTCTTTCTTCA